GCATCTATGTGGAGCCCACATCTAAAATAATATAGTGTCATGTGTATTTAAAATACAATATATATTTTAAAATAATTTAAAATTCATAAAATTTAAAAAATAAAACCAAAATTTTATGAATTTTAAATTTAAAAAATTTAAAAAATTTGCAGGGACCATTTGTGATAGGTGTGTAAACCTCAGGGATGCTTTGTGATATATATATATGCCACATCAGCAAACTAACGGAGTTTTTGACGGAATCTAACGGCAGGGACCATTTGTGATCATACATACTAACCTTGAGGACCACTAATGACACAAAAAAACATTAAGGATGAAATCTGATAGTTTCGTAAACCTTAGGGACCTTTTGTGATAATAAGCCTTTATTTTTTATCTGAACTGTACAGGCGGCCCGAGCCCAGATTTGACTTTATTTAGGCTTTGACAGCCCACACAGGAGACCCACAACAAGGTATACATATTCAAAAGTGAGGGATTCAATCTGACCGTCCAATAATGGCTTCGCAATGGATCCGACGGCTAGTAAAGACCCTTCCGTACAATTTTGATCCTTATTAATTTGGGCTCTTGACATATTAGCACAAATGAATGTCCAAGTACTAAAAAAAGCATTCTATAGTGAGGGCCTCCCCCAACATTAGAGACAGATGTTAATGTTTTCTTTGATGAATAAAACCCTTTTTATCGTTGTTGGCAAGAAAAATAAAACAGAAAAAGGCAAAAAATTCTCAATTCTCTCTCTTTCTCTTGCAAACAAAGGCAAGTTTATAATGCAAACAAATGAAAAACAAGTCCTTTTCATGATGATAGATTAGGCCGGACGTTGGCAAGATGTTTTTTTATATTTATTTTCGGGTTTGTCAGGCCTTCTAACATGTAGCTATAAATTATGTTTATTCCAAAAATTACATAATATATTTAAACAAATTCTTCACTCTGTTTTTAAACATGTAAGTTATTGACTTGTTTATAATAAGAACAAAACATAGTAGGAATCTTTGTCAATGAAAACTTGTAGGGCTGCCAGTCATAATCCTTGAAAGGAACGAAACCTTGTATTGTATGTATGTGCATATCGTGTGTCATCGATGAGGAAAACTTTTGGCTCTCATGCATGATGTGTCTGAAAAAGGTCAAATGCGTCCTTTCCAAATAAAATCAACATCATCAACTTGAATAATTACCATATTTTAAAATCAGTTTATATTAATTAATGGAGGGCATGCATGTAAGTTGTGCAAAGAGACAAATTTTTCCCAAATAAATCCCATCCATCTTATCATGAAAGAGAAAAAAAGAATTCCGATCAAATCTTATTGATTGTTGTTATCTTGTTCTTTAAATAGAGAAGATTACTGTCCAAATTTGAACTTGTAAGGACTTGCTAATAGAAACTCTTTTTTTTTTTTTTTTTAATAAAGTCAGCTAATTTTGGATGGAATTCTAATTAAAGATTTAATTTTAAAGTATTTGAAAAGGAAATTGTTATTATCTCTTTAAAGAAAAGTAACTTAAATATAATTCAAGCAAATTAAAGATTGAAGAAGTCATTATAGTTGAAAATTGGTAGAGCATTTATCCGCTATACTCAGTATTTGAGTTTGATCTTGTTAAGCATGCTTTTTTATCTTATTTGATACTTGACATTTGTATGTTGAATGTTAGTCAAAAATATTTTATGACATCCTATGACATTTTCATATAGTATATAGTTTTTGTCCCCTAAACTTTTTTATAAAAAAAATGAAGATGGTTTTTGGGTACAAAAGATGATATCACCTTGTGGTCCGAAAATCACACCATCTTTTTCAAAATATCACCACACACTCTCTCTCCTACGTGGCCGGCCCACCCTAGGATCCCTTTTGGGGTCCTCATGCAATTTTTGTAAATTAGGGGTTGTTTATGCAATTGATGAAAAATTACAATTTTGCCCAAAACTTTAGTTAATTACAGTTTTGCCCCATTTCACTAACTGACAAAGTGTTTTTATCCTTTTGTGACAATTGTTTATTTGTTTGAAATAAATGTTTCATTGAAATTAAGCCCATATTATCCAATAACAAATTTTAGAATTAGATTCTAAGTGAATTATCTAATGAGATTAAATAATTAAAGAGATGATTGTGGACTTATGAACACAAATGCATAGGGGCTTGCATGCATCTCCTCTCTCTTAATCTCAAATGTAATTCCCTTAAAGTCCATTGGGCTTTAAGTTCTTTATCTAAAATTCTCTATTCTCAAATAGTTAAAGGCAATGGCGGAGTTAGGAATTCTATCAAGGATGGTCAACTTTAAATGGCTTTATAATTACAATGAACTTAGTTTTTATAGGAAAATATATATAAGAATTCATTATAATAATTAAATTTCAATATCACAAATTTAATATCTTAGTAAGTGTAACCCAAATTCTAGCAACCTAAAAATAATGAAAGAGTATCAAAAGTTGATTAATTTTAGATAGAATGAGAAAATCAAATAAAATTCATGACACACACATATAAATGATATACGAAGACATGAAAACAAATATAGATCATATTCATATTCATTGTAGACAATTTACATTTGTGAGAAGGGTCAATAATAAGTATAGCTATAAAACAATTTGGATAACATAGAGAAAAATATTTTCAAAATGTTGGTAAAGTAGGCCTTAGTTCAAATTTGGATACCAGAAAATTGGAAAATCATTATGATTACAAATAAAGTATTCACCCTCATTATTATTATTTGTATTATTTTTATGAAACCTTGATGCTAACGCTGACACATCTCCAGCAATGACTTGATTCTGGATCAAAGGGGTAGTTGTTTCATGCTGGAACATTGTGGTTATATCTTCGGTTACACTACCCTCATTATTATTCTGCTCGTACACAACCTGGATTCCAAATTCCTTCGTATCGAATTCAATTCTAACCGAACTACGTATTTTATCTACCGAAACACGTATTTCATCCCCACCCTCCAATTCATCGTTTGCGAATCGCCAATGACTAAGCCATAACATATGTTCCTTCTCTTTTGG